GAGTGAATCCCAATAAAAGCCTGGCAAACGGGCAAAAATCGAAAAACAAGCCAAAAAATAAGGGTCAAGCTTGCAATGTCTCTTGTCCAACACTCGATATATTACCTTCTGCACGTGCCAAAACCCCCAAAACTATTTTTTGCACTAGAAACAAGGCAATACTGACCTTAGAAAGCAAAATAAGGCTGCTACTGTAAAGCCCCTCGCTCTTTTTCTTTTCTTTTCCATTCACCTACTCTGTTCCAAGTCAAGGCATATTTTCTCTTTCAGTTGTTACATTGTTGGAATAACAAGGGACAAGTCATTTGGAAAGTTAGCGCCTCTGGGTGGATATCTTCTCATGGCAGGATGGCTAACATTTGCCTTTTAACAGGCGCGAGTTGAATAACCTCCGAGGGGCGAAGCCTTGCTTGGGTTTTGTGTCACTAAACAGAAGCTAGACAGGACGTAGTAAAAAGCGCTAGTGATCAGTTTAAGCACTGTTCGCATTTAGCTATATAGGCCATATATGATTCTTAATAAACGAACTGCCTCCGATCATTTTTGCCTCATATTGTTTTTATGCTAAGATTCAAATGATTTTTTGCCGTCAATGAATACAGTTCTCAATTGTTTTTTCTGTTAAACAGCCCCCCGAAAGACTTCCAAAAGCTTATGCTTAGTTAACTAGGAAACGTTGTTGCAACATTATTGCGCGCGATATGTTTTTACTACTGTTTTTCGCGGCGGAAGTCAGACGTAGCGGACGCAAACCAAATTTTTTAACTGCATAAAGGTCTGCATAAAAAGAAACTTGTTGCAGGCGATTGTTGTATTTTACGAAAGACGGTGCATCCTAAGCTTTGCTTTCCTGTAGCATGTACAAGCAAAAAAAAAAAACAGAAAAAACCAAGATGCATGTGTAGGGACTTCCATCTGCCCTTCCCCTCCTTTTCTTGTTTGTTTGTTTTTTTTTTAGGGGAATTTCTGGTGAGTTTTCGGGCAGTGACAAATAGACCTTGTCACGGTTTTCGACGTCACCTTTACGAGTAGGCAAACGCGTAAGAAATTACTGTGTTTGTATGAGAATCTAGTGTAGAATAATTTCCGTAGAACGGCTGATCTGAAAAAATATGAATTGTAAACTAAAGATTCACTCCTAAGGATCCTACTGAAAAAAAAGAAGACCTATAACCACTTTTTACAATTTTCTATACATTTGTCTGTAAGAAAGTCCCGGGAAAAGTTACAGGCAAATACATGGAAAATCTAAAGCAAGCCTCTGGAGAAATTTAAGCACTGGTAGGTACTCCCCCCAATTTTTTTTAGTACAATCCTTTGCTTTGTAGCTTTAGTTTACAACTGATATTTTTTTCGGAACAGCCGTTTTACGGAAATTATTCCACATTAGATTCTCATACAAACACTGTAATTTCTCACACGTTTTGCCTACTCGTCAAGATGGCGTCGAAAACTGTGACAAGGCCTATTGGAAATTGCTTGTGTACCTTTTTTTCTTAAGACTGTTGACTTCACTTTCGAATTGTCAAGCGGACATGAATTGTTTGTATTCCCATTTCTCGTTTCGTGTTGAGCATCACTGAAAATGAAAGTTTTTAATACGAACTTTGCCTTCATTACTTTATTTTGCTGGCGTTTCCCCAATTTGTACCGGTGAGCTGGTGCCGGGTTGTAAATGAAATTTTCCCCAAATTTCAATAAAAATAAAAAGCAATTTCCGAGAAATTTATGGCTGAGTCATCGTTTAACGTTTAGCAATATATGAATTGAAGTTTCTTTAAAAACAACTCCCTATTAGGAACTTTTCAAATGATTTTTATGGGCGTTGAATGTTATGGCTGTCAACAAACAAAGAAACTTCACTTCCCGTCCTTCTCGGAAGGTAATTTACTTCATCTTTCTTGGAACTCCCTTTTACATCTAGGTGTTTTTTAATTTAATTTCCTTCAATGGGAAAGCTTTGGGCATTTCTCTCGATTGGAGCTAAATATCGCGGTAATACCTTACGACATTTTTCGCTGCTGTGTTCAATTGGTGATTCCTTGACTTTGGGGTGTCAGATCTCAGGGCCTTCCCCGACTGACGTCAGATTCGATTCAGAACGTGCTAAATTTAGCTGTGGCGGTAAGCGCGTCCGAGAGTCTTTCTATTTGTTTTTAATGCGACAGTGTTAGCATGATTTACTTAGAAAATCCTTTGACCCGGAATTGTTCTTGTGATCTAATACTTCGTCGAAGCAGCTGGAATGAAAGAAACCAGTAATGAGTAGTCCAGATGAGTCTAAACAAGGCGAGTCTTTACCAACAGACGAGAGCAAGGCAAGTGCTTAAGATTTCTCGTTTTTTAAAAAACTTTTACTAAAATGTTTCAGTTAGTGATACTATAATATTGTATGTCGCTTTATATTATGCTTATAAGATGTTATTTGCAATTTTGGGGGTCAAAATCAGGTCCAACAGCCACTGAATTGTAGCGTATTTGCACATATTCAACTGTGCGTGTTTAATTTGGTGCGGTTTTGATTAGCTTTCTTCTCCTCGAGGCGATAACTAACTGCCTTCTCTCTAATATGATTTTAGGAAGTGAATTATGTAAACGTCGAATTTACACCTTTTACTATTCATTACGAGAAAATACGCAATCATTTGCGTGAAACGGCGACCAAAAGTGCGAAGATACATTCATATGGCGCGAAAATAGGAACATTGGCGCATAAATCAGATTCAATTACGATTTTTGCATTTTAATCAACATTCAATAACACTTGTGGCCATTCATATGGGTCATTGGGCAAACAAAAGAGAAAAATATACTCTCAGTAACGCCAACATCAAAGTCATAAACACCATCTTGAAAGTCAATATGGATATACATTAAAGTGCAAACACTATTCATTAACATTTTTATGACACTGTTTGCAATTCAGTAGCATTCCTGTGGACAACCTTAGGATGGATGAGACAAACATTAATGCACTTGTACAATCAATTGAGTGTTCTTTACATTTAATATACAAAAAACGAATATTCAATTAAACAATAGAAGTTCAAACAAATTTGGCCCGAATTTCAGTCCATTAAATGTATATCCCTCAAAAACCTTGCTATTTAAACATTTTGGGAGATAGGTTTGCATGAAATGGTACCCCTTAGTACATTCAGCTGCGGTGACAATGTCATGTTTCGGCGCAGAGCTTCAAGCACTGCAGCTGTTGTTTCCGAACTCTGCTAGTGGGATTGCTAGGGCTTTGCCCTCATTCCTGTTATACATCTTTGAATTTATTGGACTCAAGATGCCGGCCTTTGGTGTCACTTTCAGGCATTTTAAATCCTTTTCAACGATGTCGAGGGGGAAAGCATAAGCTGTGTACTTATGGGATGGGAATGGCCAAATCTAGGTGGGCTGGCACCCCATCATACACAAAGACCACCTACTTATCGGAATCCATTTTTTCCTCGCCCATGCCAGAAAAAAAACCGACACAGTATTCATTACTCCAGCAGCTGCCGAGGAAAACATTAATTTTGATAGGTGATATTGCCATGGTCTAGTTTCGTCCTCGTTGGCTGCACACTCAGTGGTACGCCCTCCACTCCCTGTCGCGCCCCACCATGACATCTGCTGGCTGTCTGGGGTAACTTTTGGGGGGAATTGGTATTGTTTAATTGAAAAGAGATTTTTGTATATTAAATGTAAAGAATGCTCAATTGATTGTACAAGCACATTAATGTTTGTCTTATCCATTCTAAAGCTGTCCAGGAATGCTGTGGAATTGCAAACAGTGTCATAAAAATGTTAATGAATAGCGTTTGCACTTAAATGTTTGTCTATTGTCCCTAATGATTTTCAGATAATGTAAATAACTCAAATGTTGATGTTAATGAAAGTATATTTTTCTCTTTTGTATGTCGAATGACTCAAATGAATGCCCAAAAATGTTATTGAATGTTGATTTAAATGCAAAAATTGTTATTGAATCTGAGTCATGCGCGAATGTTCGCTTTTTCGCACTAATGAATGTATCTTCGTACTGTTGGTCGCCGTTTCGCGCAAATGAATGCCTATTTTCTCATAACGAACACTAAAAGGTGTAATCACTGATGAAATTTCTTCGGCAACTTCTGGCTTATGACAAGAAATGAAAACTGTTCACTGACTCTTCAGACAGGGTGACAGGGGGAAGTATTAAATGCGCAAAGTTGACAAGTGGGAGGGATGGGGGGTGATTGGAGGAATAACCTCGGAAGAGGGAATGAAAGCTGAACAGGAGTTATGCTGTTTTGATCAAGTGGCAAATTGCTGAATTGATTTAGGTTGTGTGATTTGCCGAAATACTGTCAAAATTGTGTCCAAGGAATACCCCTGGTCATCGCCATAAGAAAGGGTTCCAGAAAATAAGCGTAAAGCTTGAGAGATGCCTTACACAGTCATGATCCAAGCTTAGGGACATTATGAAATGCATAAATTAGTTTTCACTAAGATCCCCCAGATCTTCACTTCAAGTAGTACTTAGAACCAAAGTTATGCCAGCTACCAAATTACATTAAATGTTAAATATGGAAAAAGCAAATGGTATCACATGAAAATACTGCTGAAGAGGATAAATTAGGATGGCCACATCATAGAGTTTCCTCCAGACATGGACGTCAGGGTAACAGAGGTAAGCAATCAGTGTAAATTAGTCCGCAAGCTTTGAAGAACTGATTATAATATTATTATAATAATATTTCACACAGTGAAAGTGATAGAAACCATAACAATGTCATGTTTTGTTACAGGAAAAGTTAAGTGAAGCCCTGTTCTATTGTGGAGAAAAAGGAAATGTTCAGAGATGTAAAGAGCTACTCCGTAATGGTGCAAACGTGAACTGGAAAGCTGGTAGAAAACTAGTAAGTGCATGTTCAACTTATTCAACTGACTTAATTAGCCTTCCCTATGATCATTTTTTGTCTGTCATTTTTGCATATGGGTAATAAGTGGACACACTGGATTGAAAGACTGATACCAAATTTTCACAGTTTTGTGGTTTTGGGGAAATATTATGTAAACAAAAATATTCATAAGTAAGTGAGGTTGAATATTTGTCTATGTGAGTGTACATGTAGTCCTGAACAGGTGAATTGTTACTGCTGATCTGTAATTATTAATGATTAATCTGGTCTTCAAACACTCAGTGGTTCAGGACTCCATTAATGCAAGCTGCCAAGTCTGGCATGACAGAGGTTTGTCAGCTGTATTTGGAGCATGGTGCTGATGTCAATGCATGTACTGAGGTATGTTTTGGCAACTACTAAGTTATTATTTGTTCTGACTTTGTTTTCTGTGACCAAAGAGCTGTACGTGATAGGGGACCTAAACTCCTTCAATTCAACCCCACTATCCCTTCAAGCTTAGTGCAACTAGACTCGCTCAGTACATCAGTATATAATAATTATTGGTCTTAGTCTGCTGTTTTAAGTTCTAACAAAATTAGTGATGTGTTGCAGGACATGGTCAAAATTCAACTCTTTTAATAACAGTTAATTTCAGGATTGGGATTAAGGCACCAAACCCACTCATGAAAAAGCCAATTGCAAGCCCTCCAGTATGATTTTCCATGTCTGTGAATGACTTGTTCTAGTTCTAGATCATTGCCTTTCATACTGTGTCAGATAACTTTTCATGTCGACACATGGCTATCCCTTATAGCGTAGATATCACCTGAGAAATAAACCCATGATATACATATTTAAATATGTATTTTCCCTGTCTATATGCTTGGCACTTTAATATAGGAGCTACGGCTCCATAGTATTGTGGAAGCACCATTAAAATAATTCTGGAAGTACAGTTTCAATGTATAAACTAATTTATTCACTGATATTACTTGATTCTTTAAAGAGCCATTTCACAGCAATTATTTTAGCAGCCCGATATGGACACAGTGAAACCTGTAAATTACTGTTGTCCAAAGGAGCAAACATCAACATTCAAACAAAGGTAAAGTAAAATCTGTTATTTTGTCCACTAACAAAGACAGGGCTTCTCATAGGTCGTGGAAAAAAAGTCAAATTTTGCTGGATTTTCCGAGACAGATTGGTGGAAAAATCAGCTGATTTCAAGGGAATTTTGCGGAAATTTTCAGGGCTAACTTCACAATTGGTAAAAAATGGCCGATTGATTGATTTTGTGCTGATTTGACGAGCAATGCATGCTTAAAGTTTTTTAATGGAGATAATCATCTGCTATTTTAACAACAAAGAGGAAATTGCAAAGCTTTTAACATCTTGACTAGTGCCCAGTTTTACTCCTGGTAGTTTTTGAACATTGGTCATTCGTTGTGGTGTTGAAGTTTACGGCAATTAAATAGCCCCAGTAGCCAAGATAAGTTTCAAAAATGTCATTTAGACATGTATTTGATAAGTTTTCTAGCGAACTTCCTGGCTCCACTACTGCGCGAAATATCATAGACTCTGCAAAGAGCAGGACTTGAAAAAAGTCCTGTCTGGTAGTTTGGGACAAGTAGATTTTCTTGCTGGGCGATTAACTTTTAAAGCTTACTTGGCCAATGGGCAAAGGTTCAGGGAAATCGTCCTATAGCAAAATCATTAACTAAGATGAACAACAAGTGGCCCCAGGCAAGAAAAATGTAAGAGCTGCTTACCTAAAGGACAAGCCGAAATTCAAGGTTCTTTCAACCCCTGAAAGGGCCTTGAAAATGTGGTTGTATTTGTAAGACGGGGTCTCATTGTTAAGGGGACAGGTGCACACTCAATTTAAGGAGAGATCTTTCTGGGTGGTGAATGTTATGATCAAACCTGGTTTTTGAGTTGTCAGTTGAAATATATTGATTAATTTACTGTATTCACATTTGGGTGTTCATGTGTTATAAATAGTTGAATAATATTATAATAATTATTTTAGGATGGTGAAACAGCATTGATGTGGGCAGCTGATCATGGCCATTCAGACACTTGCAAACTGCTCTTGGAGGCGGGGGCTGAGATCAATTTCCAAGATATTGTGAGTTTATCTTGATTATTCCTTTGGAGATTAGGCCTTGTGCAAAAAATGTCGACATTCTTCATACTGTACATTCTTTGTTTGTCTTGCTCGCTTTAGTACGGCTTCACAGCATTGATTCGAGCAGCAAGAGGGGGTCATGCTCAAACCTGCATTGTCCTTCTGGATTTAGGGGCAGATCTTCATGCTGTGTCCACACTAGGAAATGAGGTAGGAACTGTGATGTTCACACTAGGAAATGAGGTAGGAACTGTGATGTTCACACTAGGAAATGAGGTAGGAACTGTGATGTTCACACTAGGAAATGAGGTAGGAACTGTGATGTTCACACTAGGAAATGAGGCAAGAACTGTGATGTTCACACCAGGAAATGAGGCAGGAACTGTGATATTCTGCCATGCACCTGTCTGTTAAATATAATATAAGGACATGGGTGATGAACTTTAACGTTCTAATCACTTTTTTTACCTTTGTTAACAGGTGTGGGATGCTGAGAAATGGGCAGAAATGAACAAACATCTGACCATTGTGAAGCTTTTAAAGGTATATTCATGCTCTCTTCGTTTCTGGCCATTATTCTGTACCTCTTTCTAGGGAATATCAGCATGTAAGCCCCCCCACTCGCATGGGNTGTCTTGCTCGCTTTAGTACGGCTTCACAGCATTGATTCGAGCAGCAAGAGGGGGTCATGCTCAAACCTGCATTGTCCTTCTGGATTTAGGGGCAGATCTTCATGCTGTGTCCACACTAGGAAATGAGGTAGGAACTGTTATGTTCACACTAGGAAATGAGGTAGGAACTGTGATGTTCACACTAGGAAATGAGGTAGGAACTGTGATGTTCACACTAGGAAATGAGGTAGGAACTGTGATGTTCACACTAGGAAATGAGGCAAGAACTGTGATGTTCACACCAGGAAATGAGGCAGGAACTGTGATATTCTGCCATGCACCTGTCTGTTAAATATAATATAAGGACATGGGTGATGAACTTTAACGTTCTAATCACTTTTTTTACCTTTGTTAACAGGTGTGGGATGCTGAGAAATGGGCAGAAATGAACAAACATCTGACCATTGTGAAGCTTTTAAAGGTATATTCATGCTCTCTTCGTTTCTGGCCATTATTCTGTACCTCTTTCTAGGGAATATCAGCATGTAAGCCCCCCCACTCGCATGGGGCTAATCTACAAATGGGGCGCACTAGCAAATGAATTTCTCAAGGAATAACCCATAGGGAGATAACTCACTGCAAGTTGAAATCACTGGCTTTGCTTTCCGGGTACTTCCTCCCCTTGTCTGCTAAAAGGAAGTCCTTTCAAGTAGTACACTCTTTATTAAATGCCTCGTTGTGCAGCTTAATAGATCATGTGACTCCTTCAGTACCTACCCTCAAACTACTCTATATATGTACTCTAAGGGCTGTCAACTCTCCCGGATAATCCGGGAGACTCCAGATTTTGAACCGTTTCTCCCAGTCTCCGGATTAGAGTCTGAAATCTCCCGGATAATCGCCGAAGTTTGCCATTTCTTTCAAATATTTTGCGTTATTTGAGCTACCTTACTGTGAACATCGAACGTTTCCTCGCAAACTCTGGTATGCCGTTGTAATTTAAGCATTATTGTGATTGGTAGGAAGTAAACCAATTAGGTCAAATGTTACGATTCCAACAACATCTTTTCCACGCGTTTTTTTTCACAAATGACATCATGTGTCGTGCATTATGACGTCATCTATCATCCCTTCCCCATCAATTCTCAATATTTGAAGTCGTGGGGGGTTGACAGCCCTGCACTCTCCTTGCCTTTCTTTTGCCATTCAGTTTTTTCTAATTTATCCTTCCTAACCCTCACCTATCCAGATGGGTAAAGCTTTTGACCCAACCAATCTAAATTGCTTTTCTAGAGCCACAAAGTCCTTTGCTCTTTGCTCAAAGATGGTTCAGACCCGCCTTCTTACGTGACTTTAAATGTCTGTGGTGCTGTTAATGCTGGTAAAACAACTCTAATACGAAACCTGCAGTTGAACGCTTTTCAGCGCAGGCGTAGACGCGAGCATCCAGACACCAGTCAGGACATGGCCTCGAGGACTGCTGGGATTGAAGTGGGCATCATAGAAGTGCCTGGGGCAGGCGAGTTTCGTAAAATGGACATGGCAGGACATTCATGGGCATTCACAAGTAATGAGTATTTCATTGGCAAAAGGACAGCCATATCTCTGGTCCTGTTTGATCTGAGTAAATCAGACGACGAAGTCGAGAATGACTTGTTTCATCATCTAGGGATGTTGAAGGCGAGGGAGACGAAACACGGCCATCTTCGTTATCGCCCTGAAGTTGTTCTTGTCGCTACTCACCCTGATACGATAGAAGGAGATCCACGCGTCAGAGCGGACGCCTATTTTCGAATGTTTTTGGAAAGCTTCCAAGCTTACATGAATTTTTATCCCAAAGTGATGGTGGTTAACTGTACAGACCCTAACAACATGGATTTTGACGCGCTGCGGGGATGCCTCAGAGAACTTCGTGATAAGATAATCAAGGTATGCGATAAAAATTATACCCAGATGAAAGAAATGCTCTGGTCACCTCTCCGCTCCCTCATTTGCACGATCACGCTTCCATACGCACGCAAACACACACATTTCATTGACAGCCAACAGCCCATGAAAAAAACATTGATGAGACAAAAGAAATATGAACATGAAAACTGTCGGTCAGTGTATGTTTATTCTTCTGACTTAAGGGCAAAACTACCTTTCCTTCATTAAATGTCTGATTAATTTTATTGTGGTGTTCTTTTTGTTCGTATGGCATGTGTTAAGCAAAGAACGTGTGTGTGTTTTTTTTTATCTGTTAGAACTCTGACCGGGTGCCTCGTTTGTGTGCAAAGCTGTTGCCTCGCATTCGTGCGCTGGCAAAGAAGAAGTCCTCATTTCCTGTGGTATCCTGGGAACAGTTTGTTAAAGAAGTAAAGGAAATCAACAAAACAGCTGACGAAGACGGAGTTAGAAATGTGGCCTTCTATCTTAATGAAAGTGCAGAGGTAAAAGAAAACTTGGTTCAGCACACATGAATGCATTATAATTTTGAGTTAGCGCCATCTTGCCCGACTCATCCCTTGAAGATGAAAAGTAGCGGATTTAATTCAGTGACTCGTAATCTGTTGTTCATACAGTTTTGAAATCCAGTCCAAAATACCTGTTCTGTTTATAGTTTTCCGGATATTCCAAACCCTATATGTGTCTCTTGTTGTCAGTAGTGTATTACCACTCTTATAAGTTCCCTTCGAACATATTTTTGAAACACGTATGTGTGTAGGTTACGTAAGGCTTTTTTTTCTGCGATGCACACATCCCCTCTCGGGGGAGGCGTGGGGAATCCCATATGAAGGTGATAGGGATGCTCGTCATCTCGACTAGAGGTATAAAAATTTACAGATTTTGGTTCCACTTAAGTTAACGCTATCAGGATGGAAAGCCAATATATTTACCATAAAGGAATTGCTTAGGGATGTACTTTAAGAAATATCTGTAAGTAAACTATCATAGTGTGTTGGGGTATAGTCTCCTTTAGGGGTCAAATAAAGCCTGAAGCACGCCTAGATTGGGACAATTTCTGAAGATCAATCCCGTCTCTGTCATATGGGAACTCCCTAGCTTCCCCGAGACGGAACTTTACTTCCCTTCCTTTTGGTATCCGGTCCTCCTGAGGTAAGACCATCGAAATCAGCCTCCTTCTTCCTGAACTCTCTTGCTAGAAAAGATTTGTTGCCGACAATTATATTCCAATCGTTTTATTAAGGACGTCTCGTGACCTAAATGTCATCTTATAACAGATTGTGAATGACAATTCACCTGAGCTGCGAGACAAAGTTGTACTAGACGTGAACTGGCTGACGTCCCACATTTTTGGCATCGCTCTGGCGCCAGCAAACTTCCCTCGAACGCTGCGTTTTGACAGACTCAGCGGAATGGTGGGGAAACAAGAACTTGAGAGAACCTTTCGGGAATGTCCTCTCGACCAGCTCGTTGAATTGTTGGTGCGTTTTGAGGTGTGTATACCTTGGGATGAAGAAAAGCTCATCTGTGAGAACTACCTCTTTCCAAGTCATTTGGAACAGGATCGTTCAAACCTTGATGATGTCTGGCTGCAGATTGGGATCCCTGGCCTAGACCTTTGTGTTGTTGGTCGAATTTTGGAATGCCAAAACAAAATGGACGCTCTGCCTTTTGGCTTCTTCCCAAAGTTTCAAATTCGTTTGCTGAAGCGGTTTGGGCACAAAAGTCCAGTTTGGTATGGAGGAATCAAAATTGCAGATGACGTAGTGGAGATTCTTGCCACGCTGTCATCAAGTCTTAAAGCTGTTAATATCTGTGTTTGGGCGCCAAAAGGATGCGAAGAGCGTTGCTACGATGCATTGATATTCGTACAAGAGCTAATAGAAGAGCTACTTCTCGAAGTTGCTGGAGGAATCGAATTTGCGCGCAAAGCTCTGAGCATTAAAATGTTTCGCTGCAAACGATTCGAAGGGTACCCTTTAGAAGAGGTGCATGGTGCACTAAGGAAAAATGGACCGAACGCCAGAATTGTCCTTGAAAGCTGTGGTGTGAATGAACTAGCTGTGGACGTCGAATACTGTGGAATAAGGAGATTTGTTTATGCCCCCGACCACATCACTCACATGACTCTTAGGGACCGAAGGGAACTTGCTAGACTCCTGGATGACGACAGAAAATCAAATTTAAGTTCATTGAAAGAGCAACTGCCATTCGGTTCAGTTCCAGTGGAAAATGAAGACACGGCACCTTCAGGTACTGAGACTTGAACGGTAGTCACATTTTAATAGTCCTGCCGTCAATGTGTCAGTTTTTGTCTATAATACAGTTGAACCTTTTAACTTCAAGCTTAGCCAAGCGTCCAGTTCCTCTCATGTCGTAGGACGGAAGCGTATCAGGCTCTTAAAAAAAATATGGGCGCACGAGGGAGACACGCGAGGGAAGGGCTCACTCTCCCCTCGTGTGCCCCGTTTTTTTTTTTTTTTCATATCCCTATGAACGCAGGCTAAGATGAGTGTACAACTACAACAGTGTCAAACCTTAGATCCCATGAGCTTGTTAGGTACTAGCATTGATACGTGGATTAAATAGTTCTCAGAAGAACTCTAATTGGCTCAGCATTATTTTTTTATTTCGTACACGTCAGATCTTTAGGGACCTTAAGCAACGACGACGACGACAACAACAAGAACGTCAAAGAAAAATTGGTTTTCTGCGCAAAACAACAGCTCTGCACGTGCATCACGCTTTTTAATACATTTCTTTGATGTCCACTGCACGACTACGACGTGAAACCTCCCAATGCGCCGACGTTTTATGGAGGACGTGGTCATACTACGACAAATTTTCCCTTCTCTATTTTAACATGGATAAAGCCCTCAAGAATTCAACTCCAGGAAAAGTCGCCTACATTTGACGAATTGAGCCGTTCCAAATAGACGCTTTAAAGTTTGAAAGGACGTAAATTCATTTTTTAGTGATATTTTCACTGCTGTCGTCGTCTCGCTGCTTAAGGTCTCTATTCCTGACAAGCAACTTTAGTGACGACATTACTACGCAGATCTAACAGAAAGTGCCGTCATTGCATTAACCACCAAGTACTAAGTGAGGACGTTGTATTTCTACGTTCCGACCGCCTTTTATACATGGTCCTACGAGCCACTCAAGGGGCGGTTAAAGGTTGAACTCTCGACCTTTCAATCAGCAAACCAGTCAGTGTGCCCTATCATCTGTGCTCAGCCATACAAGATAGAGAGATACAGAGAACCTCATAGTCCTTACTTACTTTCTATTCGTTTTATAGGTTTTACCAGTGTGATTCCCAATAGTGAAACAGATCACTATCTCTCCCGGTGCGCTGTTCACACCGAGGTAACGGCCAGACTCTTAATAGAAGCACTGGAACGAATGAACCAATACCAAGCTGCCGATGTGGTGGGAAGATGGCTTAGGAACATGGAAATATCTGAGCAGGACACCTCAGGATATAGAACAAGAGGGGAAAGCAGTGCCTCTGAAGGAAGCCCCTTTGTAAGGTCGCGAAGACGCGGAACTAGCGAAGCTTCTGAAAACTGGGATGTGTGTTCGAGGAGTAGAGGGGGTAGTAATGCATCTGAGGGGAGTTCCGGCTTGATGGGATCAGAGAATAGTGTGAACAGTGCAAGGGAAATACCACAGCGAAGATTTGACTCGTCGAGACAAGGCTCTTTCGGAGTATACCGGGACTTTCCGAGAACCGCTCGTGCTGCTTCGTATGGAAGTGCAACATTAAGACAACCGTTTACAAGCAGAGTACGAACCACAAGTGCTCCGTCTGAACACAGCTACGCACGCTCAGCTGAAGAGTCATATTGCTCTGGATCCGTTGACAGACTTTCTTGTGAAGAATCACAGCGTGGTTCAACAGAACAGATCGTGCCCGAACCTCAGTCTCGTTGCTTCTTAGATGCTTGTAGGAACTGCGATCATTGCGCCCAAAAATTACCTCTGCAAGAAACAGAAATTCCTAAGCCGAGCGAGCAGTATCCTACTCCTGACACCATGCAGTTCGCTCAGTGTACAAACAGTGGAGGTACAGAGCCTGAACTCGTATCAAGTCCAATGCAAGTTTCGAATAGTGATGACAATCCTGAGCAGACTTCTGAAGAGGAACAACTTTCAGTGGATGAAACAGGTGAACCAGATGTGAAATCCAGTTTCCCTCTCAGGAATCTTGTTGCTGACCTTTCATCGAGGTTAAGTCTTAGCTGGAGACCAGTTGCGCTTGATCTTGGGTTCAGGAACTCCGACCTTGGTCGTTTTGAAGAGTCAAGCCTACTTCGCATTCAAGCGAGCATGATGTTGGAAAACTGGTTAACTAACAACAGGTGTACCTTAGAGTGCAAGCAATGTGAGCAGACAATTAAAGAAAGACTCGCCGAAGCGTTTGAGAACGCACATCGAGCAGATTTGAAAGATTTTTTGATGCATCAGTTGAAGGAAACGTGAGAAGGTTATATGATACAATCGACCTTTTCCGTACCTCTATATTACGGACAGGTCTATTGGTCCTAAAGAAACTGAACTTCATGCATGGATGGAAGAATGAAATGAAATGTCGCAGATTAGAGTACAACAGACATGTTCACTTCTCAGTATGCATTAACATGTTAACAGTAAGCTTGGACGTCAGTATACAAGGGCGCCATTGGCAGCCGCTATCCGGGGTCCATTTGTTTATAAGTTTACTTCAACCCACCCAGCCATTATATGAATAATGTGTGTAATGAGGTAGGCCACACTACCGGGGAACCGAAGCTTGACATAGTACAGTTATACATGGCCTGGCCTTGGAGGCTCGAAAACTGTCTAAGGCTGACATTTTGGCTGAAAGCCCCAGCTCATCCAAAATTTCGCATGCAGAATTGTGTAGGTTTAACACCACGACCACATCACTGAAAGCCTGAAATTTTTGATGTGGCTTAGCGTGAATGATAGACTGCTTTTAAATGATCTAGTAATGGTTCATAACTGTATTCACGACCAGATACCCAGCCACCTTACTGGAAAATTTATGCAGCGTTCGAAGATTCACGACAGAAACACTAGACGCAGTGGCGAATTAGATCTACCAATCGGAAAGGCTACGATCATTTCCTTTTCGAGGTGCAAAGTTGTATAACAATATCCCAATCGAGATAAAGCAAATTTCTGATATAAAAAAGTTTTAGATAAATGTCTGTAATTATTTGTTAAGTTTGTAAGTATCTAGTCTTAGTACATTATGCATTTTAATATTCTTTTAGGTTTTAATAATGGGATATTCCTGTAGTTGGTCTTTAGTATTCAGAATATTGACAGCGGAAGAGCCCTAGTCAGGGATCTGTTATTATAACGTATTTATGTAGGCCTCTCACCCCATCATTCCATTTGCACCACACGAAAAGACCACTGACGTCTTGTATATATGTAGATATGTTAAACACATGGTCGGATTCAGAAAAGTGACGGGGCTCGGAATTCTAACTGAAATGCACCACCGGAATTGTTCTGCAGAATAGTTTAGTGATCATGGCCTCAAAAATATTTTCGGAATTGTCGTGTGGTTTAATGGCAATGAAGTGTATAAATATAGATAGATTTTGTGGATGAGTCGTTATGCATCGAGTTTGAACTGGGGAGTGAGGAAATAGCCTTGAATCAATTATAACTGTCAAGTACCAATAAACGATAGACTCTTAATAGAAGCACTGGAACGAATGAACCAATACCAAGCTGCCGATGTGGTGGGAAGATGGCTTAGGAACATGGAAATATCTGAGCAGGACACCTCAGGATATAGAACAAGAGGGGAAAGCAGTGCATCTGAAGGAAGCCCCTTTGTAAGGTCGCGAACACGCGGAACTAGCGAAGCTTCTGAAAACTGGGATGTGTGTTCGAGGAGTAGAGGGGGTAGTAATGCATCTGAAGGGAGTTCCGGCTTGATGGGATCAGAGAATAGTGTGAACAGTGCAAGGGAAATACCACAGCGCAGATTTGACTCGTCGAGACAAGGCTCTTTCGGAGTATACCGGGACTTGCCGAGAACCGCTCGTGCTTCTTCGTATGGAAGTGCAACATTAAGACAACCGTTTACAAGCAGAGTACGAACCACAAGTGCTCCGTCTGAACACAGCTACGCACGCTCAGCTGAAGAGTCATGTTGCTCTGGATCCGTTGGCAGACTTTCTTGTGAAGAATCACAGCGTGGTTCAACAGAACAGATCGTGCCCGAACCTCAGTCTCGTTGCTTCTTAGATGCCTGTAGGAACTGCGATCATTGCGCCCAAAAGTTGCCTCTGCAAGAAACAGAAATTCCCAAGCCGTGCGAGCAGTATCCTACTCCTGACACCACGCAGTTCGCTCAGTGTACAAACAGTGGAGGTACAGAGCCTGAACTCTTATCAAGTCCAATGCAAGTTTCGAATAGTGATGACAATCCTCAGCAGAATTCTAAAGAGAAACAACTTTCAGTGGATGAAACAGGTGAACCAGATATGAAATCCAGTTTCCCTCTCACGAATCTTGTTGCTGACCTTTCATCGAGGTTAAGTCTTAGCTGGAGACTTGTTGCGCTTGATCTTGGGTTCAGGAACTCCGACCTTGGTCGTTTTGAAGAGTCAAGCCTACTTCGCATTCAAGCGAGCATGATGTTGGAAAACTGGTTAACTATCAACAGGTGCACCTTAGATTGCAAGCAATGTGAGCAGGAAATTAAAGAAAGACTCGCCGAGGCTTTTGAGAACGCACATCGAGCAGATTTGAAAGATTTTTTGATGCATCAGTTGAAGGAAACGTGAAGAGGTTATATGATACAAGTGACCTTTTCCGTACCTCTATATTACGAACAGGTCTATTGGCCCTAAAGAAACCGAACTTCATGCATGGATGGAAGAATGAAATGAAATGTCGCAGATGAGAGTAAAACAGACATGTTCACTTCTCAGTATGTATTAACATGCTAACAGTAAGCTTCGGCGTCAGTATACAAGGGCGCCATTGGCAGCCGCTATCCGGGGTCCATTTGTTTATGAGCTTACTTCAACCTACCCAGTCATGATATGATGTGATGTGTGTAATGGCTTTACGGTCATTTCGCCCCGGTTACTTAGCTCGCCCCTACTTTAGAACGAGGACTATTAATTTGAGGCTTGCTTTCTTTGGTTTATGGCTTGAAGAAAGAGAAATATTACATTTGAAGCCCCCTTGTTTTGCTGTACGGCCAGGAGCCCATGTTTACGGCTTAGAGAACGAGGAATATTACATTTGAAGCGCGCTAAATGACTCGAAAATAGGGGGTTAAGTAACCGGGGCGAAATGACCGGCCATTGTGTAATGAGGCAGCCTCACTACTGGGGAACCGAGGCTTGACTTAGTACAGTTATACATGGCCTGACCTGGCCTGGCATGGGAGGCTTGAAAACTGGCTAAGGCTGGCATTTTGGTTGAAAGCTCCAGCTCATCCAAAATTTCCCATGCAGAATTGTTTTAGGTTTAACACCACGACCACATCACTGAAAGCCTGAAATTTTTGATGTGGCTAAGCGTGAATGATAGACTGCTTTTAAATGATCTAGTTATAGTTCACAACTGTATTCACAACCTGATACCCAGCTATCTTACTGGAAAATTTATGCAGCGTTCGAAGATTCACGACAGAAACACTATACGCAGTGGCGAATTAGATCTACCAATCTGTAGGCTAAGATCATTTCTTTTTCGAGGTGCAAGGTTGTATAACAATATCCCAATCGAGATTAAGCAAATTTCTGATATAAAAAATGTTTAGGCAAAGGTCTGTATTTATTTGTTAAGTTTGTAAATATCTAGTCTTAGTACGTTATGCATTTTAATATTCTTTTAGGTTTTAATAATGGGATATTCCTATAGTTGGTCTTTAGTATTCAGAATATCGACAGCGGAAGAGCCCTAGTCAGGGATCTGTTATTATAAAGTATTTATGTAGGCCTCTCACCCTATCATCCCATTTGCACCACACGAAAAGACCACTGACGTCTTGTATATATGTAGATATGTTAAACACATGGTCGGATTCTGAAAAGTGACGGGGCTCGGAATTCTAACTGAAATGCACCACCGGAATTGTTCTGCAGAATAGTTTAGTGATCACGGCCTCAAAAATATTTTCGGAATTGTGGTGTGGTTTAATGGCAATGAAGTGTATAAATATAGATAGATTTTGTGGATGAGTCGTTATGCATCGAGTTTGAACTGGGGAGTGAGGAAATAGCCTTGAATCAATTATAACTGTCAAGTACCAATAAACGAAAAGTAAACGGTCTCTTTTATTACCAGTTTCTTTCTCGCTAGTAACAAGTAATATTATCTGCTCTCAAATAATTTACTCCCATGAAAAGTGAAATAGACGGGCTGAAACTTGTTTCATCCACTCTAGATTTTTCCACGAAATATCAAGTATTTGCTGGAAACACGTTACTTTCTTTAACAATCAAGCTGAGTTGATCGTGATTATTTATAACAGTCTTTCCGCTCACTAACCTGTTACATGAACCAAATCAACAGTCTTTTTCAAGAAGTGATTACATGCCAAAAGACATCAACGTTACTTTCTCATTACGGTTTTTTTATTTTTTGTTATTTTTTCTTTTTGTGGGAGAGCTTTCCCTCCGTTGCTTTACTTTTCAGAGTTTTTTTTAACTCGATTGTTTATGCCAAATGTTACAGGGTAAAAGTTAAATCCTCCTTTCTGTTTCCATTCGTTTCTCAAGAAGTAGGAGGGAGAATTCATCAAAGTATAAAAAAAAAACGATCCTGTGGTTTATATATCCTAATTCTTTTACTCATTGACTATTTAAGTGGTTATATTGATTTTGTTCACTTTCAGCAACTGCAGCTTTACTCGGTACACAGTATTCAAGTTTAGGTCTTAGAACTCTCCTTTTCTTCTGTTTAGCAGCGAGCAATGCACTCAGTTGCTTCGGATTACCTTGATTTGCTGTTAGTCGCATCGTAAACTTGGGAATTGAAAAATCGCTTATAGAAATTCTTGTTGAAGAAGGTCTAGGAATGAACGTTTGTTGAGTGCAGTGGCTAGATCTAAAAACTTTTCCAAAGTTAATTTTTTCAGTGGAAACCATCATGAAGTTGACCTCTTCATCTTGGAATCTCTTCGCTTCTTCTCTCCGTTTTTCATCACGAATGGAGCTTGCTTGTTCAGAACTCTCCGTTTCGTCGTCTTTTTTCGGTTCGCAAATCGCTTTATCACTTCCTGGAAATGATAGGTCTTGCTCTTCATCTACAAAGCCAATTTCATTTTCAATCTCGCCTTGATTTACGTAAAACTTGGACATGACTTCTTCAGTGTGAAAATACAATGATATTTGAACGTTTGCGTCCTACTCGTTAACTGCAAATGTCGGTAAAACGAAGGATGTTATTCAGGGTATCGCAGTTAAATTGCTTGTACATAATATCCAAATATGACGTTCTATACTCAAAAGAAACCCTACAAATGAATAAGCGATACGCGGTAGAAGGCACGCCCAAATAATTCAAACGCACGCCGACACGGTTGCATAGCAATGGTAAAATAACATCTTCGACTATCCTGTTTTCTTACGAAATGCGACGTTAAAGAGGACACCCGCAACCCCCCCACCCCCCACCCCCCAAAAAGGAAGAAATACAAGGTTTATACGGTAAAGATGCAAAGTTTTTGAGATCAACCTTTCTCGTTCTTTCTCAAGTGGAATTGAAAGATACAGTCCTGGAGTGAGAACGAGCTCTGGTAAATATTCCCGAACACTTGCTCCTTCAAGCTGGATTGAAGGGGAGGTCTGTTGTACAAAGGTTACAACTAAATAACAACAAAAGAGATTTTTCTCTCTTCCTCGCCTTATTTATTTATTTCTTCACTTAATACAGTACAGGTAACTACAACAGTTCACAAAAAGAAACTCTAGGATCCATACAACCGACAACACGAACTGCTTTTGCCAATTTACAGCATTCATGAGGTCTACAACAGTTTAAAAAAATTAACCTTTCAACAGCTGCCCCCTCCATGCAGGAAAAAATCGAAAATTGTTCCCGGGGGTAGGGGGGCAGCTATTCTTTGCATCATATTAAATGGTGTTTGAAATAATAACTGTACCCCCAACATTGATCAGGATCAAAATTCTTCCCATGCTATTCATGGTTAATGAACTTTAGGAAGTAAAGAGAATAAATGACTAGATCAGAAGACAAATTAATTCTCTTGGTAATTGAATCAATTCTTCTTTGTAGTTCTAAAAATCATGCATAGATTCACAGAAAAGAAAGGGATTTAAATTCTGGTTTTTAGTTAAAGGGTTAAGCCCCTATTTTGCCTGGTTTTCATGGCAACAAAACTACGTTTGTAAATGTGCTGCAAAACAGCAGTTGTTAGACAAAAGACAACCTAACATTTCTATTAATACAAAGAGTCTCGTTTTAACATAAAATTTAAGTCAAACCATAAAGTGTTCCTGTTAGGATGTTTAACTTAAGAAGTAGACCAGAGCTGCAGCAGTTCCAATGGATCCAAAGAACACCAGCCAACCACTCTTGTACAGAACACCCATGTCAAAACCATAACCAAGATCCCAAGCCTGTGGTAAAGGAAAACACAGGATTCAATAAACACTATTCAAGTAAAAAAGAGAAAAACTTTGCTTACAGATGCCCAACCTTTAATTAGCTTGCCTCCGCTAATTTATTATTTCATACAAACAGGAACGGAAGGCTGTATGTGCTTTAAAGTTGCTCAGTTCTGAAAAACTCATGTCATTCAATCTAGGGTACGTTTTGGAAACTCTTTCCAATGAATTGCCTCAGGGTTACCTCATTATAGGAAATTGATGCTCCATGAAATTAAGGTATTGGAAATTAACGCGACTTAAATTAATGCAAATTTAATGGCAAACGATTTTCGAATAAAGGAAATTAACACGGAAGAGGGGGTAACATTTCAAGATAAAGGAAATTGACACAATGTTTACAAGAAACAAAACTGTTTGAGACGACAGGGTTAAAGTTAACTTGAAATCCGAAATGGATACTTTGTTCTTGGCTCTTTCCTTAAACGTACAGAGGGTTTTAGGGAAGAAATCAGGTCACTTGAAGTTCTACACAGTTTCTCTGTAACTGGCGGAACTCCACCCTGATACAAAAAAAACCCTCCTCTTTAGGTGTCAAGAATGTCAGAAGGCATTGATAATTTGGAGTCAAAATAATGGAAATTAACGCTACACTTTATTTACAGCGCAGAAATTAACATCAACATAAATTAATGTGACCAAAATTAACACGAATTTTGGAAATTCCCATTAATTTCATGAAGCGTTAATTTCCTTTAATAAGGTATATGTGAGCAGAACACCCTTCATGATAAACAATAAGTAGTTTCAAGTGACTTATAAAATCAACTCATACCAAATGTCTGATGCCATTAAATGCATGGTAGCACAGAGGCCATGCCAGTACAGTCTTTCCGCTGAAAAGAATCCACGATGGAATTTCCAGTGTCTTTACCCAGTTTAAATAAAACTCAAAATTCTCTGGCAGAACAAGTGCACAAAGAGCAAAGGAAGCTGTAACTGAAAAGACCAGAAAAAAGGAAGTATGTGAGAATGGAAGTTGAACTTAAAGGTCAAAACAAGAGTTATGTTCACGCAAAATGACAGCCACAACAATGTTTGAGAAATAAAACCCTAAGCATGGTTAAACAGAAACTGGCCTTTGAGGAACTGGTCCCTGAATACTAATGGTTTGAGTTGTGTCTACTGATGTGTTCTTGATGAAGAAAAATATAACACAGCCTAACTTTACTTTGTTGGAATGATAGCTTCACAAGTTATACATTAAGTCTTACAATGAAACAGAATCTACAAGTACCTGCTGTCATTGCCACTCCTGTTCCACGGTGAGTAATGGACAGCATAGAGGTCAACTGTGGACTGCAAANAAAGAGCAAAGGAAGCTGTAACTGAAAAGACCAGAAAAAAGGAAGTATGTGAGAATGGAAGTTGAACTTAAAGGTCAAAACAAGAGTTATGTTCACGCAAAATGACAGCCACAACAATGTTTGAGAAATAAAACCCTAAGCATGGTTAAACAGAAACTGGCCTTTGAGGAACTGGTCCCTGAATACTAATGGTTTGAGTTGTGTCTACTGATGTGTTCTTGATGAAGAAAAATATAACACAGCCTAACTTTACTTTGTTGGAATGATAGCTTCACAAGTTATACATTAAGTCTTACAATGAAACAGAATCTACAAGTACCTGCTGTCATTGCCACTCCTGTTCCACGGTGAGTAATGGACAGCATAGAGGTCAACTGTGGACTGCAAAAACACATAGCTTATTTTAAAACTATGTTAATACACCTGTGATGTGTACCAGTATGTAGCAATGAAATGTAAGGTTGTTCTCTGGGCTGATCCATAGAGAGGGGATCCAGACCAAACTCAAAACATCCTAAAGAGTTCAGACCCTCTTTTTAAGTGATGAAGTACCTGCTTTGAAACAGCGAATGGAAATGATTACCACCTAAAAGTTTGAGCTGGTCGTTAAAAATCAGTTTAAAAGGATCATCTAAGGAGGGAGGTTACATATGCCCCAAGTCTGAATTACAAAACCCATTGTTTTGCAAGGCGAGGAGGAAGCTATGTCCCTGTCGATAAGTTAGTAAAGTGTTTGAGCTTTCAACCCATCTTTAGGTGATGTTGCATGGAATGATTCACAGTGACGATTTTTAGCACAACACAGCGCTGCAATAGTGGAACAATGTTGTAACCATTTGAAACAATGTTGCAATGCGGTGTTGCTTTATAAATCGTCGTGGCCAATCATCTCATGTAACATCACCTTTTGTCTCGTTTGCGTCATTTCCTTTGTCTTATCTTGCTGTTTCAAGGTCATGTTTACCCTAACAGGCCTTCTTTAACAGTCAAAATTCCTGGATCTGCCACCGATTTCCTACACATATGGCATAAGGACAGCCTACTTCCTGAAAAATGCAATTTTGGTATCCCAGGGTGGGGTATTTGCACACTTTCTTAAAGCCCCTCTGTGGGGTTTTCGTATGATCTGCCTGCCCCATCGTGAGGCATTTGTGGCTTTTTTTATGAGAAAGTGACAAATGCCCGGGGGGGGGATGGGCATGCTTGGAAATATTGATGGTGGAAGGGGGGTAAACAAGGTGTTACAAAGGTATTATAACCAGCATTTCTCTCTTTCTCTGCTTTTTTTTATTTACGTCACTCAAACCTCTGTGTGTATTCGCCTCCAAAGATATTTCCCTTCATATTAATTAAACAGCTTTGTTCTAATTCCAGCTCAGCTAACCTCACCTGTAGATAGTTAGATGCGGAGACATGGGTCTTTTAAGGCGGGAATTTTTAGACCAAAAGTCTTCTTCTTTGCGAACCAACGAAGAAGTAGCAATAGGTGTGCTAAAAGAGAAAATAGGGCAAATAAGCAAGATGTAGGATCTTAAAATTATTAACAATTCTGCAATCTGACCCTACGTGCGCGACATCACAGACTGACATTACCTTCGTAATAACAAGCATGACGGTCGAAGGCATCCTTTGCTTAAAACTGAAGACAGTCTGGCAGAGTTTCTGTGAAAATTAAACGAGTTTTAGCCCAAAACATAGATAAAAGGTGTAATTATTGCTGATGAAAATATTTACCCACCTAAGAAGAGCCGCCATATTGTAAATCTGCCGCACTGAATTATGGGATTGGGGGCATTGAGGTCGAGTGGAGAAAAAGTTCAGAATGTCGTTTCGCACTTCTTTTGTAAATGACACATATTGTGTGAAATGAAATAAATACCAGATAAATTTATTCCTTTTTCTCCTGTTTTCTTTATGAAAATAAGGCAAAATGAGAACTTTTTGCATTACCCAGAAGTCTGTAGGAACTTTGATTCGTGCAAAACCGCACGAAGCCGAGCGTGTTATGTAAGAGGAGAGCTGGAACGACTATCATAACAAAATGGCTGCCATATTTTATTCTCGGTTGTGCATTCGAAACAGTGGTCGCTTAGGTGAGATTCCTCATGTTAGTTGTTATGAAATCTTGCGTTGTATTTCTAACTAGCTATTCTGTTTGCCTATAAGCAGCAAGCTCACTTGGACGACCAGTTTTTACGGCTTCGACTATTTCGTGCTCGCCAAGAATTCACAGTGGTGAGTTTTTTACACTGGATTACAAATTTTAAGCTTTTTGATATCTTCTAATTTTATTTTTAAGTAGACGTCTTAGAGGTAAAATGTCTACTCTGATCATAAAACATAAGGACTGTCACATTTAATCGCTAAAACTCAATCTGGTAGATTTAGTGAGAAACTCCAGTTCAAAAGAAATAGGTAAGCTAAGTTACGTTACCAAAAGAATGAGCTTAACAAATTGATAAATTAAATGTGATGATTGTTTCATTTGTTGCAGTGGTGCTTTCAAAAGCAGTCCATTCTTCAGCTAATCGCAAGACTGAACTAGGTAAGTGGTGGTTTTGGAGTTTTAACTGAACGCTTACTTTGTGTCACAAAATATAGTTCCCAAGAAAACAGAACTTATCAAAGGGACATAAACAACAATGATTAATGAATAGTGCAATATTGTTCATCTAGGATAGTTTTAGCAAAAGCCAAAATAGTACACATATACAGACCAACTGGTGGGTAGAATAAGGTTGGACAGAATATGAGGTGCCATTGTTTCAGAAAATTATTGAAACTTCAAAATAAATAACGAAGAAATGACTAGAAAATTAACCTCTACGTGACAACTGACAAACTTCAAGTTTCTCCGTACAAATTGTCTCGTGGTTGGTTGTGAAAAATAGGGAGAATATGACATAACATCAGAACACATCTTAGACCCAGTCTCATATACAACCTCTAAATGACCATTATGGATAGAACTCAGTGGCAGACCCAGGGGAGGAGCCTCGGGGGGGATTTTCCCCCTATCTGAAGGTCTGGATACGGCTCTGGATCTTTCCTTGTGTGTAAACTGAAACAAAGAAATGTTGGTTGGCTACCTAAGCTGAATCTTTACACAAAAAAGATTTAATTTTTAATCAGAGGACATGATGTTTTTTTCTTGTCAGAAATTGCACCATCACAGCCATCCAGTCACTGGAAGTTTGAGCGCTATGTCAGTGTTGCCTTACTGACTCTTATTCCCGCGGGAGTAATCTACCCTTCAGCGGCTGTAGACTGGGCACTAGCTGCTGTCATTCCCCTGCATAACCACTGGTAGGTTGAGTTTTGTAATGTTAAGGTTAGTGATGTGAATGATGAGGTGACAGCGATAATTATATTGGTGGTAACTGGTTAAAAAATTAGCACTTTTTGTTTAATAGTAATAGCGATAAGTACTGGAGAAATTTTTTATAGTAAGTAGCAGCACAGTTGTAGCAAAATTCCGTTGGCATTTTTAGGTTCATTTACTCATTAACTCCATACTAGGCTTAGATTTATCATTATTCTCTTATTGATCTCTGTATTTGCTTCACAGGGGTGTTGGCCAAGTCCTGACTGACTACATTCATGGTTCAACAATGCCAAAACTTGCAAAGGGTCTCTGGCTGGCTGTGTCAATTTTACAGTTTATTGGGCTCTGCTACTTCAACTATTCTGATGTTGGCATCTGTAAAGCTGTCAGTATGATCTGGCACATGTAAAAAACAACTCTGCAATAGGCTGTAAATCACATATTATTATTCCAAAACTGTGTTCTTTGAAGTTAAATGTCTTATGTTGACAAAAATATAAAGAGGAAGTGCATATATTTAGTAGTTTGGTTAAAAAGCAGAGCCCTTTTCATGACCATTCAAAAAGAGGACAGGACCTTTATAAAAAAGTAGAGGCTTTCTCAAGTCAAGTAATCACGATGAAATGTCAAATTTACTTTAACCTTGTCCCTGATATTTTGAAAAAGTGTCTTGGAATAATAGTTGTTTTGTATTCACAAGACATTGTGTTTTTTTATCCTTAGTTTTCCTGAGCAATTCTTGTCAAATAAAGACTAAGAAATTTTGTCTTTACCTCTCTTGATTTACATGACAGTGTGTCACCTTCTAAATGGGTATCCTGTGACATAATGGGTACTCTGTGCACACAAGCTTGCACTTTGATATAATTGTCTTCCATGCTTGGGAAAAAGGAATATTGAAGGCTTGATTAGGAAAACAATGACCACTTTTTCTCTTGTAATTGTAAAATATGGTATCACACAAGATAAACTTCTTTTTATGTCATTCAGTTCAATGAATGGAAAAGGTGCCTTGATTGATTCATGGTATAACCTAAAACAGAGAGAAAAATCTGGCAGAACTGCATGCGTTTGGCACCTGCACCTAGACAACAGAGCGAGTGCGAAAGAATTCGATTAAATTTTCCTTTCTCACCCCTCTGCGATTATGTAAGGAGCCAGGCCTTCTAATGTCTTACCTGGTTACTTAGCTGCACCTGTTCCGCTAACTCGTCATCTCTAATTTTACTTCCTGGGTAAAACAAAAGATCAAGGGAACAAATGGCGGTGAATTTTCACGTTTGCTCAGCGGATGAAAAGGACAGCACATCATCACGTTAATGTGGAAAGGATATTCTTAGTTTATAGAGAGTGACTGCAGATATAGACCCGGATTTGCCGTCGCGGTTTAAGCGATCGCACACTGAACACCGTGCTTCTTGAAATGACCGCCGATGAAAATCAATTGAATCATCACTGGGGGAAAAAGGAAAATGGAATTTGACCACGTTTTGAGGATCATTGGCGAGTTTGGACCACATCAGAGGAGGCTATATGTGTTGTTGAATTTGTCTCTAATTCCTGCTGCTTTTCAACTTTTGTTGCAAGTTTTCGCGGGCGCCGAGCCAAGCTGGTCTTGTCTAAATTCTTCCGCAAACGAAACCTGCCCTAGGAATAAGTCACATTGTTTGGAGATACAATACACTTCCAAGTTCACATCCATTGTCACAGAGGTACGTTTAAATGTTTGCTTCCGTTGAAAAAAAAAATATGTAAAAACCAACTAGTACCAAGCTAACCAATATCAGAGTAACTGATTACAGTATCGGGTGCTCTTTTGCTCAGTTAACAGTGAACTTTGAATGTAGGTCTGATAACTAAAAATTATACAATTTTGAAGATTCAGATATAAATACTACTTTATTAGAGTTCGCTTTAGTTGGCTAGTTGTCATAGCTATATTTTTACTTTGCTAAAATTCCCCCCAACTGATCAAATGGAGGCCAATAATTGTTATCATAAACAAAGGGATTTAGCTTGTTCACAATTCTTGCTGAAATATTAAGCGGTTGTTTTGACTACGAAATTAATTCTGGCAGCTTCATTTATTTGAAATTCACTGACCTGACCATACTTTTTCAATCTACAATAATTGCCATCAGTAATGAATTATTAATGCCACGAATATTAAATTAAGGTTGCAATTTGAAACCCTTTTTAATTCTGTACTTCCTAAAATCAAGGAAACGGTAGCCAGTGCCAGAGATCAAATTCAGGAAACAACAAGGAAACAGCAACATTAACTTTATTATATTGAACAGATATAATTACACCAATATGGGGAATTCCCAAGGAAGTTCAAGTCACATGTGTATATACTCTTCATTTGTGTAATGAAGTTACATTTGAGCAGTTTTCTGCAATAATTAAACAACTGGGATTTCAAAATGTCAGAGCTGGAGTAGCTGTTAAAGTCAACATCTCACAAGAGCACCCTTAAATGAATCTGCTTACAGTTCAATGCGAAGCACCCTCGAATCCTTCTTTAAGACCACTTCATTGTTTTGACCAACATAATTTTTTTTGGCCCAGACGTAAAACAACAAATATTGATCATTCATAAATTTCTCTTAACCAAGAACCTCTTTACAGTAAATTTATGCATCTATCTTGTAAATACCACCTGATACTCCAGGTCTTAAGGTAGTCACTTTACAGGGTTTCACTCACATTAGTTTGCTGTAATTTGAATAAGTCAAATGTCTTTCATTTTTAGGATTATGCTGATTTCCTTAATTTATTCATTTTTTTATTGAGCGTTTGGAAATGATGCTATATAAATTCTTGTATCATTTTGACCATTTAATACTAATGTCACCTTCGAGAGTACTCGTCTGTGGGTGTCCCGCGCTTTTCCTACAGGCATTGACCGTGACCGATGTTATGTCCTTACATTTTTATGTTTCTAACATACCCTCAACTCTTTTTTGAGGGTTTGTGAAGGCGGCCATATATTTTTAGAGCTGCCCTTTTTATAAAAGTGTCCGTTAGGAGAGCTTTTATTGTATAATAATAGTGATGATGATGATGATGATATTTCATAGCTGGCCAATAATAATAACTACATACTGACTTGTGAAAATGGTTTTGTTTTGTAGTGGAATCTTATTTGTGAAAATGCGTACAAAGCTGACCTGGTGCAGTCAGTTCTAATGACTGGAACACTCTTTGGTGCTCTGATACTCGGAGCATTTGCAGACAAATTTGGAAGAAGAAAAATTTGGTACATTTCATTTACTGGACTTGTAATGTTTGGTTTTGCAAGCTCATTTGCTCCAACATACAGAATATACACTTTGCTGAGATTTTTCACCGGTTTTTGTATTGGTGGAGAGATATTATCAGCTTTTGTCCTGGCGACAGAGCTTATTGGACCATCTTATCGGGGCTTTGCTGGTACAATGGCACAATGTTTTTTTACAACCGGTATACTGATTCTTCCCATAGTTGCTTACCTGGTCCGTGAGTGGAGGACGTTATCTGTTTTGCTTTCTCTACCATTTTGTGTTTTTATACTGTTTTTTAGGTAAGTTCTATAAATCTGCTATATAAATGGTTGAGTGGACAGTCTTTCAATGTTTTACAATACATTTGCCCATTTCAGTGGGTGGGGCAGGGCAAGGAGCGGAGGGGACAGGAGGTCAGTGACCAACAAGAAAGCTTCGGATACTTTGGTCACTGCGCCCATTTCCTGTATATTATACTTTTTTTTTCCTGATTTGTTAACCTACTGATTCTGTAAGCCATTTTATACTGTATCAACTTGAATTGTGCAAAATAGGCTTGAACTTGAACTTGGTCAGGAGGGAGCTGGCTGATGGAAGTAAAGCTTGGGGTTAAAATTCTGACCCATTTTTTAGACAAAAAAATACTTGCCCCTTACAGCTAGGACAACAACCTCTGTCTCAACATCTTGCTTTGTTTGTTTTGAACTGCTGCAAAGCATAATTTCAAACAAGGAACTCAGTCAACCTCAGATTTAACCTTTTGCCATTCTGTTAACTATACAACGTAAAAAATCTTAGTTTTCACTCCTGGGCCAAATTTTGTGGAAATTACAATTTTTTGTTCTTACTTTTACCTCTGTGGACAAAATCCTGTGGTGTTACCAGTTAAATGAAACCTCTTTAGCACATTGTTTGCTTACTTAGTATGATAATTTTATCTTTTATGACTTTTGCAAAAAAAAATGTTCTTTCCTTGGCCACTATTCGATTGAAGTATAAATACAAATTTTTTTATAGTTTAAGGGTGATTTTAGCATTTTAGTAAGGGGGACCTTAGAACTCAAGGGAATCTTTTTTCAAGGGAGAATAATTTAGGTGTAAATATTTATTGTAGATAGGTTTATGTGACTCTATGACTTTTGGAAACCACACGTCCTTCAGTAAACTATTGTAATTTTTATACTACTTTCACTGAAAATGCAGAATTGTTCCTGAATCAGCTCGATGGCTCATAATCCGTGGTCGTTTAGCTGAAGCTGAAGACATCTTGTCTAGCATTGCAAGAAAAAATGGTATAGCTGTACCCAAGATTCTTCTACAAGTACACCGTCCACTTTCTGTTGTTGGAAACAAATATGGATGTTTAGACCTGTTCTCCAATTTGAAGATTGCTAAAGTTACTATAGTATTGTTTTATTTGTGGTATGTCTGCCAGTCAATCGAAATAAATCAATAATATATGAAATAATATCTTAACCACAATCATGGACAAAAGTCCTTGGGACAGTCAGAACGCAACTTCAATTCTATGCGTTTTACAAGTTCTATCGCAAAAAGTAGTGCTGTCTTTTTACAAATCCATGTCCCCTCCCCCCTCCCCACCCAATACAATGTTGAAAGATCAAAGGAATTGTGCCTTGATGGTTTCAACACTGTCTGTGGGGTGGGGGTAGGGGGTAGGGACGTACAGTGCTAGTAGCGTGCGGGTACAATTTTGCATGTGTTAAAAAGCGTTCGAACTGTACAACTGTCCCAAGACTTTTGTCCATGATTGTAGGATATTTACACATGACAGGTTATATCACTGATAACTTTGTGACCCCTTAGAACTACCTAATAAATTAAATGATTACAAAAAATTAATGAATGAATGATCCACAGACAGAGAACTAACTTTTCAATAAATTCATTGTTATCCCCTTTTCAATTTTATAAGAAAATGGTGATCAAAATCAATTTATTGAAAAAGTAGTTCTCTGTTGGTGGACCATTCATTTGTTCATTCTTTTCTGATTTAATTCATTTTTTAATAAATTGTTTTGATTTATTGAAAATAATAAACATGGGTTTACAAACACAAGACTGCAATCAACTAGATTCATGACATTGTACAATTTGTTGATTTATTTAATTTTGTTCTTTTCCTTCAGGTTTGTTAACACACTTGTGTATTATGGTTTATCATTGAACACCAAGCATTTGGGTGGCGATATCTATAAAAACTTCTTCTTATCAAGCCTAATGGAGCTTCCTGCCTACCTTACCAGTGTTTGTTTGATCAATTGGTAAGTACAGGTATTGCAGTAATGCAGTGTAGTATTTGAATGTGTAATTGTCTGACTGTTACTGGTTACCTAGAGTACTCTGAGGTTTTGGGTTCTGGGAGTGCATTGGCGTGAAAAAACAGCCGAAATTTCATTATGCCACCACTGGTTTCCCTGTGAAATAACTTGTGAGAAATGTGTGCAGAAACTCCATACTGGTGATGTATCTTAATGCTTCAGTGGTTTTTAATTTATGAGTATAATCAGCATAACTGAAATTTGATACAGTGATTGTCCTTTTTTTCAGGATTGGACGTCGCCGTAGTCTGTGTTACTACATGACGATAGGGGGAACAGCATGCCTGGTCTGTTTATTTTTTCAAACAGGTCTGTGTTCTGTGAAAGTCTCCTCGCTACCACTTCCTTATCCTGTAAACAATGTTACCTTTTGCTTTGTTTTGCCAGAAACAAAATGAGATGTCATTCTCCCAAAAAGTGTCCCAGGTTTCCCCATTGCTTTGCAATAACTAGGACTTAAGATTTAAAACTGAATCACAATAAAAGTCTTTAAGTAAAATATGTCTGGTCCATTATCCTTGATGGTACAGTCAAAATGCTATGAAGCAGCAGTGACCTGTGAATTAGAAGGGACAGGGTAAGTGACCCTTTAACAGACTGAAGTTCTTTTTACAGTGATTACTGACAGTTTTGCTCCCTGTGTCTCTTGTAATGTACTGCTTGCTAGATACAGGATGGCCACCTAATAACAGTTTGCTTTTACCAGAGGTTCCAACTCTTGTTAATAAGTGATGAATATTTAAAGGATTAGACATAACCTGAAGGCATTGATTTCTTTTCACTCTTCTGCTCTCTTCAGGTACCAAACCAGTGTACAGGATTTTAACAACCATCTTTGCCATGATTGGCAAGTTTGGAATCTCTGCTTCATTTGCTGTCATTTATATTTATTCTGCAGAACTTCTTCCCACAGTAGTTAGGTAATGTACGTTACTGTCTTAAACAATTATTAGAATTTTACAATAATTAATTAGAACTTATATAGCGCATTTTTCATGGAGCTTGATCAAATGCGCTTTACAATGAGTTAAAAAGACTAAAAATGAATAAAATTTACAAGCAGGTACCAAGTTTTTTTAAAAAAGTATTAACAATAAAATAAATGAAATAAATACCCTGCTACTCCACTGCGCTTTACAGGAAATTGAAAAGACTAAAAATATATATAAATTTACGAGCAGGTAAAAGGTTTTAAAAAGTTTTTATTAAATAAACGAAATACATACTCTACTACAAATTAAAAGCTTGTTTAAAAAGATATGTTTTAACATGGCTTTTAAAATTTGAAAGAAAATAGTACTTAACATAATACTCAGTAATAGGAAATCAACTTAAGATCCTTAAATCAGCTTATTAGCTCTCCTTAAAAGGCGTTCTGTCAAAACTACGCTGAATTTCAGGTGTTTTTTTTTTAAAAAGACACCCCACAATCCTGTACATGAACTGGAGCCGATAAGTAATTGGCTCCTGACATGAATCAGTTAAAGCCCAATCACAAGCCATTGGAGGAAGTGTTAGAAAAAAGCTTTTTAATTAAAATTTATATTATTCATAGTTCAATCATACTATTTTATAGGAATGTCGGAATGGGTGTGTGCTCCATGGCCTCCAGAATCGGTGGCATTTGCTCTCCTTTTGTTGTTTTCTTGGTAAGTTTTCTTGTTCAAAATTTTTTCAGTTGTTTACCCAGCTTTTTCTGGTTTGCCAGTCCCACTTACTTCCTTTTTCAGCTTTTAATTACCGTAAAATTCTGAAAATAAGCCCCGGCGCTTATATTTTTCAAAGGCCCTTTTTGAGGGGCTTATTTTTGGAGGGGCTTATCTATGGAGGGAAACGTTTCAANTCTACTACAGATTATAAGCTTGTTTAAAAAGACATGTTTTAACATGGCTTTTAAAATCTGAAAGAATATAATACTGAACATAATACTCAGTAATAGGAAATCAACCTAAGGTCCTTAAATCGGCTTATTTGCTTTCCTTAACCCTTTAAGTCCCAATAGTGACCAACAGCAATTTTCTCCTAACAATGTCCATACATTGTCAAGAGATAAGGTTGTAAGAATGTAAAAAATGATCACGAAAGAGAAAATGCCTTGATGTTTTATTAAATTCTCTCAACTTATTTTTAAAGGAAATGTATGGAGATCAGTTTGGAGAATTTGTATGTGGATACTGGGGCTTAAAGGGTTAAAAGGCGTTCTGTCAAAACTACGCTGAATTTCAGGTGTTTTCTTGAAGAGTCTAAATTCATAGAGTTCCTTCTCTTGAAAAGACACCCCATAGTCCTGTACATGAATCAGTTAAAGCCCAATCACAAGCCGTTGGAGGAAGTGTTAGAAAAAAGCTTTTTAATTAAAATTTATATTATTCATGGTTCATACTATTTTATAGGAATGTTGGAATGGGTGTGTGCTCCATGGCTTCAAGAATCGGTGGCATTTGCTCTCCTTTTGTTGTTTTCTTGGTAAGTTTTCTTGTTCAAAATTTTTGCTCTTTACCAAAGTTTTGAATGCTTTTTCTGGTTTGTCAGTCTCACTTACTTCCTTTTTCAGCTTTTAATTACCGTAAAATTCTGAAAATAAGCCCCGGCGCTTATATTTTTCAAAGGCCCTTTTTGAGGGGCTTATTTTTGGAGGGGCTTATCTATGGAGGGAAACGTTTCAAAATCGATTGGGCTAGCCTTATAATTGGAAGGAAATTTTCCGTTTTTGCTTTGTTTTGCTTTGTATTTGAGGGCAATTTTCCAAGTACAAGCCCTCGGGGGGCTTATATTTGGAGGGTCGATTTAACGGAGGGTTTTTTTGCGTTACCGGATTGGGGGGCTTATACGTGGAGGGGCTTATTTTCGGAATTTTACAGTACCTTAACAGTGCAGTGTAATATAAATTTTTTTGTCGCATTTTAGGGAATCTACACACGCCCCCTTCCCATGATGATATTCGGGATGTGTTCATTTTCTGCTGGGTTACTCAGCCTGATTTTACCAGAGACCCTGAATAAACCACTGCCAGAGAGCTTAGAGGAGACTGGGTTCGAGGGCGTGGAAGGCATGTCATATGAGCGACTAGAAATGGAACAGTACACACGTGGCGCAGTTGATTCGAATGATGATGTGTTCCAAGCGAATGATTCAGACTTCGATGATGATCTTGTTAGCGAGAAGACGACGTTTATCTAGACTGGATGCGTTAAATGAAATGAATTTGTGTGGTGGTGGACTAGCAGTTAGATATCAAGGAGTCGTTGCTTAGTTATCCAGTAAAATCACGGCTATCCCCGGTCAAATTAGAAAAGGAATTGGAAATTGAGCAAATTAAATGGGAAACCCTAGCTGTCGGAAGGCAGATCATATCGGCCAAGGGTCAGAGCCATGAACTCAAATCTTATGTAACTATGACTACTGCAGTAGCGGTCAAAGCCGGACTTCAACCCCAAAATATTTAATTTTTGGAGAGGGTGTGGGTTGGGGTGGGGGTGCGTCGGGATTACGTCAATCCACCTTCGAAGCAGTTTTGTCGTCATGTCGTTTGCTTCTTTGACAGATCCATTCCCATTCCCCCTGCAGGAAGTTTTAACTTTCTGTCTTGGTTGAACGAACCGTCTCTACCTACATGCACCTGCATTAAATTTTGGCGGCATGTAGCCCTATGTTGTAACGATTGCAACTTATTTTTGGGGGGGGTTCCTACATTGCTTATTATATGAAAATTTTTGTATGTATGTAGTACGAATTCGAAGGTAAATTAGTAACTATCAAATACAATAAATTAGACAACGTAGAAATCAACTGTGTGCACTCGACATTCGATCTTTTTCTAGGCGTTACTAGCTTTTAAAAAAGACGTCGATGTTATTCCCATAGCAAGCATTAACCCTGAAACTTTATTTCCCTTCTTTGTTACTAAACACGGTACATGTCATTATGCCATTATGGCTCTTGTACATGTAGAGTGATTCATTTTAAACAAAAATCTTCCCGCCGTGGTAAAATTACATTGAGACCCATGAGCTAATATTAAAGGAAAGTGTCTTTGGTCTGATCGTAAGGAACAAACCTTATCTCGAATAAAGTAATTCTTACAGTTTCGAAAAACCCTAACAGAAGAATTCACCTTTACACTCCTAAAGTCTCTTTTTTCTGTCGCCCCATGTAAAATAAATCCAAGACAGTCTTGGATTCCGGAATCCAGGTACTTGATTTCGGATTGCAATCGTTAGTGTGATTCTGGATTCCTTGAGCTCTGCTGTATTCTGGACTTCAAAGCTCAGGATTCCGGATTCCACAAACAAAAATTTTTCTGAAATTGGTGATCATTTAAATAAAACCTCTTCAGCAGCCCTTTGAGCTCTACAGTATTTTGCAACATGGCATTTGGTATTTGAAGTCAACTTAACTGTGGCTATTTAGGAGTAAAAGATGAATTTTTCTTGTCTACTGTTCTATTAACTTGATCCCGTAATTCTCAAAATCAGTCCTTGGATTGACTGGTTGCCTTAACATTTGCGGATTATTTCCATCCCTGAAACCACGAGGAAAATGATGAAGTGGTCTTAAGGCATGCTTCGTAATGGCTGAATCTTTCACATGATATTTGAAGCCCGTCAAATATGCCAAAAGGTAAGAGGCAATACGAACTCCAGGGTGCATGCTTGCAGCACAGGTCATGCTCGTAACAGGATTGGTGGAAACAGCAATCGCCACAGACCCACTCCCAACAGTTGCATCCTGCACCGCACATACCACGGCAGTCATGCTTCGTGGGCTTCGAGCAGCGCGTCTCTTTTGCTCCATACTGGTCAGCAGTCTGGTCATCTGCCATGTCAGGCGCTTGAAGCTCTGGTGGTATCTCTACCCCTGACGTCATCAGCAGGTTGTAAAGAAGGCCATAAAAAGGCGAGAGAATCTCCAGCAATGTGCTGTTGTCTCTCAACGCTGTGGCTGCCCGGTCAATCAGCAAGAGCTCCGGGATCTTGCGAAGAGCGCGCAAGGCTTGCTGGTATTGGCTCCAGAACAACAGGTCTTGCTGATTTGCACTCTGGGAAGTGATCCACTGTGCGAAAACTCTCATGCGATCTGGTTCCCTCTGGACATAATCAGGGAGATAAACCATTAAGGGACCTGATCTGTGGAAAGATAAACCCCAGTAACTTAGTCATAATTGATTTTAGCTGCAGGATGTTTTAAACCAGACAAACATGCATGTTTAAATGTCCATTGATTTCAAGCTGAAATTCCTAGGGATTCTTATAATTAGCTTTCCGATTCTCTCCCATTATGGCTCATTGTTTATTTTAGAACAGAAAAACTAAAAAAAGAAATATAATTTTGCTAAAGTGTACCTGTTTTTCCTAATTTAAATTAAGTCTCGTCTAAATATTTCACTTAATGCTAAATCATTGCCTCTCTTTTCTGTATATTGAGCTTGAATCGTACCACCCTGGGTCTGAGAACCAACCCATTCTGTTTCTTAATTCGAAACCTATGGTAACCATCGCTACATCTTGAACATGTCGTCGAAAATGAAAGAGACGTGTTAAAATATCCAGGGAGAGCTAATTGCACTGACATTCATGTCTTTCAATCAGAAAAATAATAAGAGCGCCAAGAACTTTGCACTTTGCTTGAGTGATTGTTTATTCCCTAATTAAAGTTCTGTAAGTTTTTTTGTACATTGAATGTTGTTATTTTTGTGTATGTCTCTTTTGAACTCTATCTATCTATCTTTTCGACGCCTTTCTTGGCCTTTTCTTTTTCTAAGTCTTGAATTTTGAATGAATCAACCTGTGTAGCCACAACGTCAAGCTCATTGCATTTCAAACTGATTTGTGAGAAAAGAAGCGCCACTGCTGCACAACGGGATTTATTGCGAACACAAGCCCCCAAACAGCGGAACTTATCCAAGGTGTATATAAATCTGATAGTGTTGTTTCGCCTCTCTGGACGGTACATGTCGCCAGTATTCATCTTTATTCGCCTCTGATTTGGTGACACACTGAGACAAAGCGAAGCAAGTGAAGAAATGTCGTGAAACGGCAATGATTCGAAGCCCAGATTATAAGATTGCCATACGTTAACCACTGATCAACACAAAATAATCATTTTAGTGGTAACACATCCACAAGGTGGCTCTTCGTCGACCATGTTCCGCGGGTAAACGTGATTTTAGAAATACTGGCTTTCAAGGAGAGGGGAAAGGGAGAGAACAAACACACATGTGGCATTACCGTTAGGTCATATGGGTGGTGGTTTCACTGTACCATTGCACCAAACGTTTCCCTCAAAATTAAAGTAAATAAGTTTTATTTTACAAATGTAAAAAAGCAGTCCTCCCGGTCTAACAAACCTCTGAACCTCGGATCCCTGATCAAATTTGAACTTGAGATTCATGTTGGATTCGCGGAATGAGGAAATCGTTGAAGTCAGTGGCCGAACCTCCAACCAACTTAACCATTTTTAGTATGTGACGTACCTGATGAAAGGCTTGTCCAAAATTTGATACAAAGTTATATTTTGGCCCAGATCTTGAAAGATGGCTAGTACAGTTCCAGTGCTTTTCCGCGTCAGTTTTATTGAACCGGTCTTTACATCAAAGCAGACGCCCAGTGTCTGATTATAAACATAACACCCACTGACTTCTTCCTGGGAATAAATGTTAAGTTGAATCCCTGGATCTGTGGCACAGGAACAGCTGAAAATGATGAAGGTAAAGACCGCTGTTGTTAAGCTAATCATCTTATCGCCCGCAGCAGTTCTGAATTTCTTTGGTGAAATTGAGGGATGACAGTTCAGCTGATTGCAGTGAGAAAGTGTGGTCTGGATCGTTTGAGATCAATTTTAATGTATTTATCTAGCTGCCGGGCTTTTAAGCTGATGACAAGTTTCCTTGATTCTGGTGATTGATTCATTGATTTGCTGCAATAATTGTTAGTAATAGACAATTCCAGACGATATTTCTAGACGGGCTCCTTTTAACATTGGAGTAGCAATGACGGACAAAACAAAAAAATACGTTTTCTTTTACCATTAAGTGCCGTCAGAAAGGTGTTGTTTATACCCATGCATATTAACTAATGATGTATTAAGACGGTCGGCTGACTTCGCATGATCAACTTACTTTCGATTTATAGAATTTCTTAACGCAAAAGTATTTTTGAATAATAAGACGACGTCATGGAGTCGTTGAGTTAAAATTGAATGCTCTTTATTACACTCTCCTACGTGTTAATGGGGATACTGCATGAGAATGGCAAATTACAGTGTATTCTTCATTCTTCGTCTAATGTAGGAAATTTTAAAGAGTTTCTTGGCTGTAAGGAATTTTTACTGTTGTACTGAAATAGAACTTAATACAGTGTAACTTGCGCTTGCAAAAATAAATAGACTATAAATGAACCACACCACTGATGGGGCCATAAAAAGTGTCCTTATTAACTGGGTGTCCGTATTAAGCTTTACAGGTCTTTAGAGAAAATGTAAGGAAGGGCTTTCCCCAGGGACAAAGCAAACTGTCCGTCATGTAAACCAATCAGTATCCCACCATCCTAAAGTGTCAAATTGGCCCCTGGTTTTAGGTGTTTTTTAAAGGCGAAGGGCGCCATCGTGTTCTTTTCTTCTTCTTTTTCCTTTTTATTCAGGCTTCCCCTTCCAATGCCTTTTCACAAAAGAAGTTTGAACGCGCAGGCTTCGAACCAAAGTGCTTTCTTATTCTTCACGGCTGCAAGATTACCAAAGTGTTTTTCCTTGTTTTATATGCGGCTCCTGATGTATTTGAAATACAATGAAACCTCTATTAAGCGGACACCTTCGGGACCTTCCCAATTATCCGTTCAATAAAGGGTGTAAAAATTGCGCATTGTTTTTTTAACGATCAACATTCAACGGTAACTCTGTACTGTGATAAAGTTGCATGTTGTTAAAAGAAGCTAAGCAGAGTTCAAGTTCATTACCTTTCATTACCAACTTTAATTTGTTTGTAAATGCAAAAACATTAACTGACTTCACTCTGTGTTTCAAATTATTATTCCATTTCACTTATTTTACCATTCTCATTTTTTCCCCTGACCCGAACACTTCCAGGGTCAAATCAGATGTATTTTTTGTGGATAAATAACCTGTCTCAGGCGGCGGTCAAGAAAGATAGCTTTTTCTTTTATAGCGGAAAGTTTCATCACAGGTAGCCCAAGCTCGAAATATAAGTATCGGCGAGCATCGGCATTGTTGCGTAACATTCAAAATATAAGGATTTGTATGGGAAAAAAACCTATCGTTTCTGTAACCAACGAAAATGAAAGGATTTCAATAAAAAACATCTTACCTTACTTAAAATGTGTGTTACGTCTCTCCGTATACAGAGAGAAAACCGTTTACATAAAAACCCACAAAACGGCCATAAATCGGCCCGTCAAGCACACGGGAGAGACGTAACACACATTTTAAGTAAGCCAAGGTGTTTTTTATTGAAATCCTTTCATTTTCGTAGGTTACAGAAACGATAGGTTTTTTTCCTATACAAATCCTTATATTTTGAATGTAACGCAACAATGCCGATGCTCGCCGATGCTTATATTTCGAGCTTGGGCTACCTGTGGTTTCATAGAGTTAAAAATTTACCAGTAACACTAATACCAAAGTCAGAAATTTGATC